ATATGGGGAAATTAAAGTCCCAGCCTGATGAAGGACAATTAGATTACGAAATGTAGCTACATGGGCTTGCATATTGGATAGAGAAATGTATGTGCACAATGTATATAGTTTGTTTGCACTTCACAATGTAGACGCCAGCAGGCATTCTCCACTGGCTTTGAGATTTAACCTAAAAAGGAAAAACAAAAAAATTATACTTGGACTGGACATGTAATACTTACCTTATGGATGATGTCTCCGTGGTTAATCAAACCTGTAAAGGAAACAAATATACATACGATTAGAGAAACAAGATACTTATCTGAGCAGGGAGGGTACAGTGGGGACTGGTATTATTTTCAAAGGTAGTGATGGCTGTGGATTGTATTTGGGGCCTACTTGTGGTCTGATATCTAGAAAGGGGGAAACAGAGGCTTATTAAGCCAGTAGGCATTCTCCACTGGCTGTTTGCCCTGTTCCCTAACCCTAAACCCTAGATCCCCCCCAAGCCGTAACCATAAGGATAATCTACCATAGGGCCCTAAACCTAAAAACACCTCTGATTATAACCATAAGGGTAATTTACTTTAGGGCTTTAAACCTAAAGCTGATTATAACCATAGGTGGGGATTAATTTAGATTTAATTAATAGTTTGGAGGATTAAGATAACCATAAGGTACAATATTAGGTAGAGCTATAATAACTGCCGTGATATAAAATTGTGAATGGTTAAACCACTGGGGTGTAGGATGTCGTCGGCGACATCGCGTACTTTTCGCATCTATTTCAGTTCATATCTCGCTGAAATCTTAATGTACAATCATGGAAAAAACGCTGATTAAATCCGTAATCTGTCTTCTTTTCAAAACGTCTATTGTCTGAAGTATTACAGTTTTTAAAATTAGGTTAAATCTGCAAAAAAAGTAAACCATGTCATCTTACTTGGTTTGTTTTACCTGCATCAGGGGCGTGTAATACCGCTTTCACCCGAAGATCGCTTATTCACATTATAAATAGCCGCATTAGCGCGTATTCAAATCACATTCGCATGGTAATTTGATGAACAGCGCAACGATGGAACGAGATCCAGATACTTCTCCGTCAGAGCCATAAAAGGGTGGTAGGGACGTGGCCAGGTGTCAATGGCTCATTCATAGACATGAAAGTTTCTACATATTCAATGAAAGGAGCCAGAAATACTGACATAAGTTAGCTTTTTCTTCTTTATCCAATTTAATGTTGCAACTACACCATTTAGTCATCTTCATGTAGCCAAGACTTTGCTGATCAGATATCTGAGATCAAAACAAACTTCCACCATTGCTTGCTATGTACTTTTGTAATGTTTCTGCAAGTGTTCCAAATGGCATTTTGCAATGTCTATACTTTGATGTCAAATTACATACATAACAAAAATCTGACATATTTACAGTATACATTAAAATAAAGATGAGTGTAATGGCAAAACAAATATATAAGAAATAATTTATTTGCCATAAATTAAGTTTATGATATTTTAAGAAATTTGTGACCATGCCCCAGTCTGTGAAAGTGTGTTTCCTACCCCTAGACCACAGAGGGTTAAAATAACTTTCACATATAAATGTATAAAAGATTAAGATTACTTTTAAAACTGTGGAGGATTAAATAGCCACCATATTTAAAAACTGCTTTTTACTGTGTCACCCTCATTTTCCTTAAGCCTCTACAGAGTAATGATGTGGGACAAAACACTGGATTAATTGACTTTATTGTGGTTATGTCTAATTTCCTTACTGTGTTACCCCCATTTTCCTTTAAACCTCTACAGAGGAAGAACGTGGGACATAGTGCTTAGTTAATTTATTTTATACAGAGGGTGCTTGGTACTGGATGGCCCAAAATTAAACTTGAGGAGGATTAACATATCCCTAAATATTTGATTGTGGAGGATTAAAATAGCTTCCAAATAAAAATTTATGGATGGTCTAAATAACCACCATATTTAAAACTTTTCCTCACTGTGCTACCCTCATTTCCCTTAAACCTCTACAAAGGAAGGACGTGGGACACAGTGCTAGTGAATTAGCTTTATTGTGATTGTGCCTGGCATACGATGGCAATGGATTGACTGTGGAGGTGATTTGCGCGCTGGCAGGTGCCCTCGGGAGGTCCTGGGAGCCATTGTTGATGCCACAGGAAGTTGCTAGCCTATAGCAGGCAGATTGCCTGATCTGTTGTGAGGTATTAGGTCCAGCTTAGGTTATGGGGGGGCATGCTGTTGAACCACAGTCCAGAAAGTCAGATCTGAGGGGGTGCCATTTTAGGTGAAAAGCATGGAAAAGGGTACTTTAGCTGCATGGAAGGGCATATACCTGTTGGCATCGTCGCTGCTCCTTTTATGGTTCTATCCTGCAAGATATTCAAATGATGTAACCATGATAAGTTTAACTTTTATGATTTTTAAATTGTTATTATAAGTTACAGCAAGACCTCCACCACGTCCTGTAGGACGAGGTTTGCAGATGTAGCTAAAATTAGGGGGAGTGGATTGAGTGCATAGAAATCGCCTGGTGGCTGCCAGGTCTCAGTGAGAAAGAATGTCAACATTGTTATCTATTATCAGTTCATGGAGTAGAGATGATTTGTTGTAAACAGCACACATTTAAAAGTGCACAGTTTACAAGTTGTGGTTCAAATGAAGTCTGAGGTACAGTATGGAGATGGTTAAAATTAACAGCACACTGGGTACGGGTAGTTCGTCGATGCCGAGTAGTCCAGAACGTGCAGATGTTGGTGCTGTCACATCTGAGAAGTTTTATAGCGCCTTGAGCCACGATGAATAAAGTGATGCTGGCGTAAAATGCCTGCTTTGCAAGCAGCGGAGGCAACTTCTCTAGATAGTCGGTGGTTGCTATTAAGACGTTTCAGGTCAGCGGCGGAGTATTTGTAAAAACGTGGAGCAATTTGGAGAAGCGCAGTTGGTAGGAAGATTAAGTAACCGATGCAGGCTGCCAATATTACTGACAGGAGCAGTCCACACTGTAGCAACATTTCAAGTGGTACTGAATAGTAGGAGAACCTAAGGCCAGTACACTCAGTACAATTAGTGCTGGTCTGCCCCCGATGTCAGAGCCAACCACCTGAAAAAGCCGACAGCAGTGCACAACACAGCAGATTATTTCAACTGAATTGTAGGAGAACCTGAGGCCAGTATACTTAGTACATTTAGTGCTGGTCTGCCCCCGATGTCGAAGCCAACCACTTAAGAAGCCGACACCGTGCGCCGCACAGCACAACAGACTATTACAGCGGCGAGAAAGAAAGCCTCACTTACCAAACTGAAGTTGGCCATCGAGCTCCAGTTGGAGAAGTGGAGACTTCTCAGGACGAGGGTCGGGAGGGGGTGCAGTCAACAGACAGTGTGCCACGTAACTGTTCATGGCAGGGCGGTCAGGGCATGTAGGCACATAAGCGTAGGAAGAAATAGTCCAGGGGCAAAATCCAGTAGTAGGCAGCTGTGCGTATTCAAAAGTCCAGTGGAGTCCAGAGAGGAGACATCAGAGACTATGTACGATCATGCTGGACAAGCCGGAGCAATGAATAGAGACTTCTTAAGTTGATCGTAGCAGCAATAATAGTGGATCCATGGATAGTGTTAAAAAACAAAAAGAAAACTGACAATCAATCATGATTTTACAGACAGATAAATAAATCACGCAAAGATGCACTAGACGCGGGGAGAAGCGGCAGTCAAGACAGACTGCAGCAGTGCTCTCACCCGGAAATGATGTCAGACGTGCGGGGGAAAATTTCTCTGTAAACAGTAATGGTCTCACATTTAGACTGCATATCTAGTTTATGCAGAGCAAAATGCTTTAAAGAAAATGTCTTGCAAGCACTGATTGCACCAAACACTTATTTAAACAATAAAGGACAAAGCTCAACAGAAATGTTATAAATTAACATAAAGACAACCAAGGCCACAAAGTTCACTAACACACAAAAAAAAAAAAAACAGAAACAAGTTCTGAGCCCACCAAACATCTTTTTTTATAGCGATTACCAATTTAAATTTTGTAAAGATCACAAGTCCACTTATGCCACATTTAAAATCAGCAACAAATGTAACACATGCATGCGCACCACCATTTTTGTTAGCTAAGCAGACATTTCTGTCACCGTACATGTCGACCTTGTTTAAACATTACAGTCTAATTCATCTCATTCTGAGATAAACGGTGGCATGGCTTAAAACTTAGTTTAGAAAATTAAATGCAAATTAAAAAAAGGTTTGACATTACCAAACGACGCTTGTTCCCATACACGTCTTACAGCCTGCACTCTAGTCAGGAATATGGCCTCACCCCTTCCCACGTGACTACAAGCACATGAAAAAGTCTGCCCCTCGCCCTGCCCCCACACTGAGATTGCTGGACATTTAAAAGCCGCAATGGTTATAAGTCCAATGTAAATCCATAATGTCTAGAACTTGGATGCTTAAAAGCCATGATGTGTAGATATCTCAACTAAAATTTGTTTAAAGGCCATAATGTCTCAGTGGGTCGTTTTCACCATCTGCAGTCATTTGCGCTATGATCTCTTTCTCCTGCCAACCTAATACACTTCCTGTTCCTCTGCGCAGATTGTGGCAGCCATCTTGGCCATCGCTGGCATTGTGATGCTGACATACGCCAACGGGTTCCGCATCCTTGGCATCACCCTGGTGGTGTCCTCTGCCTCGAAAAATTTGTTTAAAAGCCATGTCATCACCATGCTATGCCGTGATATAAATGTTTAAAATCTGTAATGTCTAAGTCTGCTGTTTTGACATTTTGGCAATCAGCGCCATCTGTTCAATCAACCTTTGCATGCCTACCATAACCGCATGCACAGTGACTGGTAGAGGAGTTGACGGGGAAAAAAAACTTTGAGACCATAATTGAGCAAAAGCCTTTTATTGGTGGGGAACATTTTTTTTTAAATAAACCAAAACCTCAGATATAACAAAAAAAACAACAAATAAAAACAGCACTTATAAAATTCAGCAAAAAATACATAAGGAAAAAAAAGCAATTAAAAAAAATTATTCTGTATATCATAAGTGAGAAAATAAATATAAATCAGAAAACAAATAAACAGATGACCAGATATCTTTACAGTGACTCGTCTGAACTGCATTGACTAACATACAAGACAAGACATGAAAAAAACTGACATGCATCTGTCAAGTCTTATGAGCTTTATCATGACATTGCAATTGTAATTATTATTACTATTATTATTACCGGAGAAAAGCACCGAGGCCACCTGTGGCGACGAAACTGCGTGGTGGTGCCGCGAGCAGTGAGCCGCCTGCTCCTCCAATTGGCGGACACTCTGTTTCAGCAGTGTCAGCTCATCGCTTTCCTCAGAGCGTTTTGCTCTGAACTCCTGCAGGGACTGCCTCGCTGCAATCTTTTTTGCGGCGGTCACCTAGGTTTCCAGCAAGAGATGATCATGTGAAATGCTGAGACAATGAAGTGCTATAGAAACCTGAACAGATACAAATGAATTTAATGGAATGGAATACCTGATTTTTCAATTCATCGCCCTCCAGGTTGTGCCGGACCCGCAAATGGCGGTCCAGCCTCACCAAGTTCATGGACAGGCAGTGGGCCACTGGACAATTCAGTGGCCCAGCATACCTGCCCGACAGTGCCGCATAAAGCAGCCTCCTCTCCTTTGTGCTGTCCACCCGGTGGACATCACGCAGGTGGACTGACACGTTAAGATAGCGCACCCGGCAGAGGGGGCAAGCCTGCGGCTTGGCCTCGTCATTGTCAATTAGATCTAGAAATCAAAAACATTTCCGAACAACGATTGACCATCTACAGAAGCACATTTGATTGCATATACTTCACAGTGCATTTCATTGCTTTATGCATTAAGTGGTAAGTTGTTTGTTTAAAATGCTTAATTTTAAATTACAGGTTAACTCTATGGGGTGCATTTTTAATAAACCAAAACCTCAGATATAACAAAAAAAACAACAAATAAAAACAGCACTTATAAAATTCAGCAAAAAATATATAAGGAAAAAAAAGCAATTAAAAAAAATTATTCTGTATATCATAAGTGAGAAAATAAATATAAATCAGAAAACAAATAAACTGATGACCAGGGGGGTATTCCAGAAAGCTTGGTTAACTTAC